GGACGAAAAACATTTTGAAAACGGAACATTTCGAAAACGATGGCGTCACGATAATCATGTGAATTCCCTGACTGAGTTTTCCTCAAACACAAATCCAAAATGACCGGTTATTGTTGCGTTTTCAAATTCCTTCGGCGTAGTGTGGACGGAACCTTAATTCAAAATGCCCAAGAGTGATGCGTGCGCGATGCCATTTGCTTCAAGACAAGCAATCATTCAGATGACAATTTCAAAAAAGCACCACACCTTCACGTTTATTATGATGTACAAGATTGCCGGTTTTAGCCTCAATATAATCTGTGGAAAAAACTGTATTCAAGTAAAAGCTACTGATCATCAGGAGCTGTGATCAGTTATTTCATGTGGTACTGTTAATTATACTGTCGAAGGAGGCTCTCGTGTTGAAACACTAGTGATCCTTCGAATGAAAGCTATTGAATAGTACTTTGATGCGGTACTGTTAATTATGTCATGCAAGGCGATTCTACCGTTTTAGTCGGTGCATGTCTCCTCTAGTGAATGCTACGGTGATTACAGAAGTACTTTCTCGTTGTGGCGTTTCTGCTTTTATTTTTTTATATGTTTTTATTTTTTTATTTTTTCAATTTTTTCATATGTAAACGAAATTTTAGAAACTAAAGGTTTACCAAGATGCATATGTGATTTGAAAATAATGAACACGCTCTAATTCCTACTTTCCTGGATAACTTTCTAATACATTAATCAGTTTACAACATCTTTTCATCAACTAATGCTTATGCAACGTATTAGGAACTCCTTATTCGCCTCTTTTAGTGGAAATGATTTATTAACATTCCTCAGTCGGTCTCCCTTGAACCGCTAACAAGTTTTGTTTAGCACTGAAAGGGTTCAAAGTCGGCGGCAAAGTTGCAAATAGACGTTTGTGAACAAGAATGAAGTAATTAGGAAGACATGAAGTCCTTGACAGAAACTACTTAAATAACAGATGTAGCTTTAATGAATCTTGTGCCATTTGCCTGTTTTGACCTTCGTTTTAGGCCGCGTTTACACTACGCCGAGGGAATTTGACAATGGAGGTTTCCCTATGAAAACGCATCAAATGCTTTCCGTCCACACCACGCCGGAGGAATTTAAAAACGCAACAATCACCGGTCAGTTTGTATTTGTGTTTGAGCGAAATCTCGGTCGGGGAAATCACATGATTATCGTGACTTCATCGTTTCCGAAAAGCTCGGTTTTCAAAATGTTTTCCGTCCGCACAAAAACGAAAAGCCGTTTTCAAATTCCTTCTGTTTGAAGAGTGTTTTCGAAAAGGCCCTTTTTCGTGACGGATTAGTGTGGACGGTAGGCCTAACCGTAGAAATAAAGCTGCGTCTTCAAATTTCTCCTGTATGGTGTGGACGATGCCTCAACTTCACTCGAGTGAGGTTTGGAGTTTTCTCTGATTCAGAATTGTGTAGAGAACCATATTTCTCTTCAGATTTAGTCACTCGTGTAAATTTTCTCAAAACCTTTCAGTTCCACCCCCAGACACCGTGTTAATGGTGAGGTTCATTCATTGCTTAGTATTGTTTATAAATCAATTGTAATTTCCGCAGGATATCTCTCTAACCGCGAAGGATTACTATATCCATAGAGAAGCCATGTTTAGAAAAACACAACCCCAAATGTAATAGTTATTGTCTAATACGCCTGAATGAATATACACGCGCTGTACACGAAAACCCCCGTTGTTTTTGTTGTTGTTTTATCAAAATAAAACGTTTTGCCATTCAAAATGAAAACATTGCTTACCAAGGATAAATGTTTTTAAAACAATTAACTGCAAGAGGAATAACAATATTGAAGCTTAGCGGTATATAACTACAGTTGTACGAATTTTCAAGCAATTTTTGTGGGTATGATCCTTAATTAAGCACATTATTAGAAAATGAGCTCTTTTCTTGTGAATTCAAAAGGAGGAAGTTCATTTAAATAACTGACGTTAGTGATGTGTATTGAAAAACAGGACTAGATATTCGAAACGTTATCAAACGAAGCTTTTAGCATTTTAACAAAAGAGTGCGATTTGTCCTCAGGAAATTTGCAAAACTAATGACCTTATAACGCTGGGAAACTGCGTTAACTCGTGTCACGTTTTCGTATATCTTTGAAACTGGATAAACTTGAAATTGTGCATAGAACATTCTTTTCGGAATTTTGGTTCAATTCAATCTTGAGGGGAAAAAATGACAAGCGCTGTTTAGAAATGTTAAAGGTTATAATACACATTTTGGCAAGTCAATTTATAAGACAAATTAGATCAAATCCTAACTTTCTATAAGCTACTTGAAAGTATATTGACTGCAAAATACAGTGTTGTTTAGAGAAGGTGATATGTTATTATTGCGAATGACAAATTTAAGTCTTCGAATTTCGAATATCGAAGCCTCTCGCGGGTTTCAATAAATTCACAGTGTGATAATGTAAGATAACGGTGGATATTTTTCGTTTGTTGGTAAACAAGGTGATTGCAAATGGAAATGTCGTTTGAGAAATCTCGCAAGTAATATTTTCGCACTTGAAAAATAAACATGCAGTCCTTCTAAATTTCCTGGCACTTTAAATCTGTTCGCATCTTTCACAAAATCTAAAGAAAACCAAATAGACGTTATGTTGTCCTTAAATATTTTGTTAATATATTCAAATTACTTACCAGGTAAGGACTTGCGATTGAAATTAAAAAGCACAGTTGTGCGGAAATGCAGAGCCGGCACTGGAGATAATTTCAAAGATTCAGTTATTTGTTTTCAAAAGGACTCATGTTATGAGCTGAGCTCAAACAATGCTCGTTGTTTCATCTGGGAGATCCGAATCAAGATTCATCTAAACAAATATCCCGTAATTTTTGATGTTTATTACTTCATATTATAACTATAAACGACAGGCAAAAGGGGTTGTTTAGAGATCCAATTTAGATCAATTGATGTAAAAAGCCGCTTTCTTTCTCTTCTATCTGATCAAGCTTAATTATGATTCAAGACGAGCCTATCCGGCCAGAGAAGAAAGAGTGTTATGTTACAATATATAATTTCGATGTGTTTGTTTTTCTTTTCTCTCACTATATAGTATACACAGCACTAATCCTGCGAAGGATGGTTTTATTTTCAACTGTGGAGAGTATTAATGAATATTTATGCATGAAAATAAATTATATCACCTTTCCCTAAGACCTATGCACCGTGAATTTCGATATTCGTGCTCGAGAAACTCGGGAAAAACGACATCTTCTAATGTATTACATAATATGACGGAAATATCCGAAATTTGCCCACTTTTTTTATTGTTATTGAAATGAGAGTTATTTGAAGAGGACCTTTTTGTGAAGGTTGAGGTTAATTCTTATTTGACAGGTGCTGTAATATAGCTTTGCCGAAGACAAACTTCATTGTAAAATCAGCGAAGATAGTGAATACTCATTGGCACAAAACGTTGTCTCTTTCCTTGCTTTCATTTCGAGTAATAATCATTCGAAAGAAATGGGTTTCGTGTATTCCTGCAAAAAAGTTAATCACAATTCACATCAATAATATTTTACGTTTTGAAATATAACACAAAAGATTTAAATGCGAGGTGAATAAGTCTTGACCAAAGTAAAATGACTAAGTGAGAACAAAACGTCCTCGGAGACGTGAATATTGTGACCAGAGAGAAGGTAAAGTTAAGGCGACACTTGTTAGTGTCGAAATCGTGCAGTCCGGAAATTCTAAATCATTGGCGAAACGACTGAGAAACGCTGATGAGCAAAATATAAAATAAGAGATGACAAACTCGTAAGGGAAGTCAACGGACTTGATTTTTCATTTATGCATGCAGTGATTTTTGAAGCGCGCTGCGCGCATCAGATCAAGTTTAAAGTATGTCGGAGTTATATAAAGATGAATAAATCGATGTTGTAGATACTCACCGTCGTGATGGTACGAGCTTTTTCCAGCGTCTCGGAAAAATTCCCATCCACGTTCAAGATCTCCAGACCATCCTCGAGCCATGGGAGTGTATCCCTAATCAGCACGTACGTTCCCGAGCTGAAGGAAACGAAGAACAGTCCTATGGCTGTAGCCCACGCCCAACCGAATATGTGCGCCGCTTCGTAAAAATCCAGCGAGAAATGGCATACTAGATTACAGATCCAAAGCACCAGGCCGAAGGTACCCAACTTTCGATGGTGCTTATTTCGATGTCCTATAAATGCCGTCATAAGATGCACCGGCCGTAGTATTTTGTCCACAATTTCGCGGTTCAGTACCACGGTCCGCGGCGCATTTCTGTCGGAAAACGCCATTTTCTTCAGCGACCTAAAGTAACGCACTATTGTGCTAAGTCTGGACTTTTCCGCCATGATGCAAGCGGGAAATCAGCTCCCCTTCTGTCGCAGGTGAATGAACCTTTTCTAGAAATTCTAATTGATGAAAGCAGCAGGAACTGGTGTGAAGTCATTTGCCCTGCAAATAACAAGCAAATTAAGGCTCGTTTTAAGTAAAACCCTCTTGCGATACCCGCCAACAGACGGATGAAGTTGTTTGTCGCATGCGATGTACGCACGTCTTCCTCGCGTCCCGTTCGCGGCTTGTCAGTCAATAAAATCTCACTTCCAGTCTACAGGTGAACAAATAGAGCCACTAACGAACAGACAGTTTAAATCGTGCTCTCTATTATGATGTTACTTTCGAATAGGGGACTTACGAATATCTATTCAAGGGTTGCCAGGCATCTAAAACTGGCCTTAAACATGCTTGTGTCCGAATTTTCGCCGAACTAATGGCTTATCAGTGAAACTGATTTGAATATTTCGTGTTGTCCACATCTTATCTTTCCTCTCGTTAGAGAAGAGACCCTCGAGAAACGAAAACAGCAATTTAACATTGTCAAACAAACCAAGATCATTTGCTGAGTGTTTACCACACGAGGCTCTTGTGTAAAAACCTCAATTCGTTTGCTGTTGTTTGCATGTATTACGTTTTCACGTTTCTTTTCAACGAAAGCGAAACGCATGCGGTTTGCACGTCAAATTTAAAGAAACATGTTCCTTCAATTTGAAGTTTTTAGATTTTTGTTGCCGCAGTTTTCTCACATTTAATCGCATTTGAATTTGCATGTAGTCGGCCGTCAAGAACTAAGATAACGTACTTTTCACATGCAGATATATACAGTATCATTATTTCCTACCTTGTTATCAAGCAAACCAGGCGTTAGAATACTCTTGACGTGAAATGATACTCTCTAGATTGGAATTCACTCGACAAAAAAAAAAGAACGTTTTCCTCCGCTACGCAGCGAACGCAATACTGCTCAATAACAGGCCTTTTTGCATCCTTCATAGAGATTCGACTCATTTGAATTCCATAATGAAATGAAATTAAAACAGAAGGGACCGTGAATTAGGAATCCCCTACAGGGCATTGTGTATGAAAAAGTGCAGTGATGTTTCCCTTCGTTAAATTTGCTCGCAGCGGCCAATTCTCCGGTACCCTGGGATCGCTTCCTGAACTGAGCTAGCCCTCGCGGAAAAAATAAGGTCGTGTTGTGTTGTTACAACTTTCCTCAGCATTGCTCCCAAATTATTCAAGTACCATTTACCAGATATATATATTACCTCAAGAACGTTCTGCTCGGATGTCCCTCACACATATTGTAGTGTTTTGATGTCAAAATGAAAAACAAAGTCAAAATGTCTAGTCGAACATCGTCAAAAGAGGCCTCAAAAGGATAGTGGGTCGATGATGTCATAACGAGATTGTCTTTATTCCGATTGGCCAATCTTTCTTAATTTTTGGTTGAATCGATAGTATTAGGTTTTTTTTATTTATTGATGAACTGGGGATTTAGTTCTTGTCTTCTTATTTTGCTTCATTATTTTTGCGTTTTTAGCGCATTTCACGCTTAAATGTGACCTGTTAATGACGCCATTGACTCAACGCAGCTGTTTTCATCAACAATGACTTTTACTCCGGTTTTGTCACCACTTGAAGTGAAACCCTTCGAACCTTATTGTGCCCAGCGCGTTGTCAGAAGAACAGAAATTACGCGTTTGTTTACGTTGGTTACTAGAAAATACACACTACTTCTTTGTCGATCATCAACAAACCCGTTCCTTTCTTTTGAGAATGAGATACAAACGACAAATAAAACTGAAACTGCGGCTATACCTTGCACCTAATCTGTCTCAAGCATTTTGGCTCAAGTCCTTATTTTTTTCTTCGCTGAAAGCAATTGCGTAGAGCTTCAATAGAAGATATGTATTTCAATTGTGATCTGTTCAAGTTTTGGAAGTCTTGTCATGGTCTTTATGGTTACCATGACAACAGAAGACACCTGAAATTATACGATTCAAAAGTGTTCTATCGTTTCAGTGATAAAAAAGGTTTTTTTTTTCCGTTAGCAAAAAGTTAGATTCCCCGAGTATGAAAATTTTGAAGTCGATTTAAATAGTATAACCTTTTGACAAGCAACATAAGCAGAAGTGAGACGAAACTAAGGGGAAAAAATTTACCCGCGTAATTATGGCCCAAATATTAAATTAAAAGTCGCTCGAAGAGCCAAACAAAGGAGTCAAGTGATTAGTCCCCATAACTTGAAAGGTAATCACTGGTAAGGCGTTACTCAAGTTCTTCATAAATAACTTTTATAGAAAATCAATAACAGGCTCGCTAATTTTGATGAATGTTTACTTAAATCATGCTTGAAGACTGGGCAGGTGTTAGGGAAACAAGGCTGAGGTTGAGAACGTAAATAAAGGCAAACAATTTTGAGATTAAAAAGCTATTTCGACACAAAAAAATATGGAAAGTTTTCCATTAACCTCTCTTGATCAGATATATTAGATGGCGAATTTATTTTGCATTTGTTCCTCTTTTTGTAAAATGGCAGTTAAATTTTCGTGCCCAATAACGCTGTACAGTGCGTCAAGACGGCAGGAGAAGAAAGTAAATAAACAAAATTATCCACCAACTTTGGGGCATTTTCTTGGTATAATTAAACTAACAAATCCTAAAACCTTTTTTATAAGAAATTTCGAAAGAAATCTATGTTAAGGCCATCAGTTGGGAGCCAGTTTTGATCTGAATGGACGATAGACAGAAAGTATTTAGTTGTACGAAAACGTGCCTAAAGTAACAACCCCTGAAAAAGCACGCCTCGCAAGACACGATAAAGGATAAGAGAGTTATGACTCATTACTAAGGGATCCCTTTGAAGTTATTTTTAGATATGGTACCCAGTTCTTCCGCGGGTTACCACGAGCGTTGCGTGGATGTTTTCGTGGAAGATGAAAATGCGTGTAAAGCCACTTGGGATGCCCACGTGAGTAGAGTTTCCCGTCATAGGATTGGCTAATTTTATACTCTCCCGGGATTTCGCGCGCCTGCTAACTTGTGAGGGATTATTGAAGGACTAAGGCCTACATGTGTATGGTTGCTATTTCTCTTACACTTCATTCCCACTTGATGAGGTAAAATTGAGATCTACGCTTCAGCACGACGATAGCGACAGCTCTTCAACTAACGTCTAGGGGCGCATTAACAAAAAAACAGTTAGCTTATCTTGCCACGGGACAGCAAAATTGCAATAAGGCAGGCTGAACTAAACATTGCCAAGTATCAGCTTTACGAAAAAGCAAATTAAGCTTTGTTACGCCAGAAGCAAGAAAACCATTAAGCGAGTGGCTAAAAGAGGAATGCAGCCTGAGAGAATTAGCACAGAAGTTGTACTGACTGGATTGTTCAGAGACTATCAACTCTAGCTAACCATAGTTAGTAGAAGGGAAACGCTATTCTAAAATAAAAGTTCCCCCAAATGGTTGACTGTGAGCTAACCTAGGAATGAAAGTCACAAATTTCTTTGAGACAAACACGTTTCACACATCTAATTTCTTGGTTGAGTTCGAGATTAGTCTAAGTCAAAACGGACGGTCGAAAGCTATAAGAAGAAAGTATCACTGAAAAAATAAATTCATACAAATCTCTATGATTCCAAAGGAATACTGCTGGCTCAAACTTAATTCCAAATTTACTGTTATCTGGCAGTTTTCGCGCCCCCACTTCGAAACGCCCGATAAATAATACAGTTAAGACATTACATTGCTACACTGTCAATGCATTGGACAACACTTTCTTAGCAGGAAGCGCTGTTCTAAAAATTAAAAGATTCCGCAAATGGTTGCATGCATGACTCCCGGATGTAGCCAATATGGACGCTGCATGTTATGGGCTCCTGTGTTGTGGTATTGACTCGATCGTGCGGTGCCATAAGCCTTTAAAGTTATTTTTGAACAACATATGTTGCTCCTCGTCAAATTAAACTCAGAATTCACGCGTGAAGCATGAGAAGAGGCCAAAGCAACGTTAGCATTGTTTTTGTTTTTTGGTAACTGCGAGGAAAAAGACTATTATCATGTCATTTCGGCAGGCCAGCTCAGTTTTGACTGCCGCTGGTACCGCGCGCAACCACCGTATGCAAGGATTACATCATTTTATACCTTTTTTTTACGTTATTGGTACTTTAATTACAATCGAAAAGCGGTATTATAGTTGAATTTGTATCAAATTTTTATCAATTTTTGTATCAATTTTTATCATTAAAATCCAGTGACTTTTGTCTCGCACAGATCCGCACAGTTTGGAACTGGGTGCAACAGTCCTGTAGTTAACGATGATTCCCTTTGAGAACGTTTTTCCGGCGGCCATATTGGTATTCAGAAAAAGAAGTTTTTAAATACGAAAAGAACTCATTTCCTACAGGAAATAAATTCCATTGTTCAGGAACGCTAATATGCATATGTCGCCATGACGTCATGAGAAATCGCTCGAAGAAACAAAGCTGTTTCGCAATCCAAGCAAATGTGACAATTCTGCGAAACGTGCGTGGTGAAACTCTCGTATCCTTTGTTTTGTAACAATATCAAGGCTCAAAATAGCAAATTTAAAGAATATGTTTAGAATATACACAAAGCCGAAATTTTCTTAAGAGCATTTTTGCGAGTTGATAGAAAATAAATTACAATCAAATCGCAATGTTTTTTTAATGAAATATATTTTACTTATGAAAACTATGGTAATAAGGGTAAATAAGGTAAAGAGATAAAGCACGTAGGCAAAGTAACACGATACAGACAGCGTAAAGTTTAATTCGATAATTCAATTCCTAGTCACATCCATTTAATTTTACTGAAATACATGCACTATATTCTGCAATCTGAGAATATACACATGAATATTTTCAGCCTACAGTTAAAGTTGGCGGAAAAATAGTAATATTTAGCCTGGGCATAAAAAATCATACATTCTTAAAAAGAGAAAAGACTGTATCTTCTTTCTTGGAAGACAAATTGAAAAGACAAATAAAATTCACAAAACTGCATGGCAACATAAAGCAGTTGGCACGAATAAGCAAAGTTAACTCCAATATAGGTCATTCTCGCCATGAAATATTACATTGCGGGACACAAAAATTGCAATTCAATTTTGCCCGCATTTGTTTTCAAAGAATACATCGTTCAATGATGTCAAAAAAAAACAAGAAATGACTTGCAGTTATAACGAACTCATCTTTTTTTTTTTTTTTTTTTTTNTAATTCTTATTTGACAGGTGCTGTAATATAGCTTTGCCGAAGACAAACTTCATTGTAAAATCAGCGAAGATAGTGAATACTCATTGGCACAAAACGTTGTCTCTTTCCTTGCTTTCATTTCGAGTAATAATCATTCGAAAGAAATGGGTTTCGTGTATTCCTGCAAAAAAGTTAATCACAATTCACATCAATAATATTTTACGTTTTGAAATATAACACAAAAGATTTAAATGCGAGGTGAATAAGTCTTGACCAAAGTAAAATGACTAAGTGAGAACAAAACGTCCTCGGAGACGTGAATATTGTGACCAGAGAGAAGGTAAAGTTAAGGCGACACTTGTTAGTGTCGAAATCGTGCAGTCCGGAAATTCTAAATCATTGGCGAAACGACTGAGAAACGCTGATGAGCAAAATATAAAATAAGAGATGACAAACTCGTAAGGGAAGTCAACGGACTTGATTTTTCATTTATGCATGCAGTGATTTTTGAAGCGCGCTGCGCGCATCAGATCAAGTTTAAAGTATGTCGGAGTTATATAAAGATGAATAAATCGATGTTGTAGATACTCACCGTCGTGATGGTACGAGCTTTTTCCAGCGTCTCGGAAAAATTCCCATCCACGTTCAAGATCTCCAGACCATCCTCGAGCCATGGGAGTGTATCCCTAATCAGCACGTACGTTCCCGAGCTGAAGGAAACGAAGAACAGTCCTATGGCTGTAGCCCACGCCCAACCGAATATGTGCGCCGCTTCGTAAAAATCCAGCGAGAAATGGCATACTAGATTACAGATCCAAAGCACCAGGCCGAAGGTACCCAACTTTCGATGGTGCTTATTTCGATGTCCTATAAATGCCGTCATAAGATGCACCGGCCGTAGTATTTTGTCCACAATTTCGCGGTTCAGTACCACGGTCCGCGGCGCATTTCTGTCGGAAAACGCCATTTTCTTCAGCGACCTAAAGTAACGCACTATTGTGCTAAGTCTGGACTTTTCCGCCATGATGCAAGCGGGAAATCAGCTCCCCTTCTGTCGCAGGTGAATGAACCTTTTCTAGAAATTCTAATTGATGAAAGCAGCAGGAACTGGTGTGAAGTCATTTGCCCTGCAAATAACAAGCAAATTAAGGCTCGTTTTAAGT